TTTCTAATACAGCGTCATCAGAATCAGAGAAGACAAAACATTTTCGGACATTCTAATGATCGTCGTCTTAACGCATCCTTATTGAATACGATTAACTGTCAATCATCTCAAGATGCCCACTAATGACATTCTCCATACTTACGAGCCCCATTAACGATGTTGCAACTGACACGTGGTTTGAGGTCAACTGGTCACCTGCGACTTGCTGATTCTGAGAACACCATATATGGAGTATCGGAGCCTCTATAGAATATTTTGATCCATTTTTATGTGAGAAAAGATTCTTTAGAATCAAATTGCAGTCATCGTTCTGATTCAGACTTCTAAAGATTCCTCTTGCAAGCAAGCTCCAGAATTGAGAAGCAAGTAAGTGGACTTGCAACTGCCGCACGGTTCGTCTGCGGCACCGCAAAAGTTGAAACTCCGCCCCGATTTCCTCGGAATCGGTTCCTCGGAGACAACCTCTTCCTCGGAATCGGTGGAGTGTCGGAAAAGTATGCCTGAGTTGAGACTCACCGATTTTTTCAAGTTTTGTGACAGTTTCCATTAAAATATCGAACTTTGAGCATTTTTCATAATTGTTTTGAAAATTTAGTTTATGTCATTTTTTGTTTATTTGTTTTTTACTAAGCCTGAAAAAAATCTGGAACTAGCTGAATAACTTCAAATTACACAGTTACAATAAAAAAGTGTTGTTCATGCAAAAAAACCGGCTAAAACTTGAATTTTTCAAAGTTATGCATTTTTGTGGAAACAAGCGCAAAGTACGAAATTTTCATAGAAACATCCGAAAAACTTGAAAAAATTGGTTAATCTTAACTTACAAGGGAGTTATACTTGAGGGGGCGGATTTAACTTTTTTGAAATTTTGAGAGCAGATAGAAGAGCTTATGAGGATTCCAAATCTGTTTAAAAATCAGCAAAATGCTCACGTGAGCTGAGTTATGACCTAGAAAAGTTTCCCTATGATTAAGCAATTTCTCGTGAAATTGTTTTCACGGAATAGTGTATTTCTTTTAAAACAATGGATTTCAATCAGTAGTAAAGTGGTAAAATGGCAAGTTCAGAGGTGGAAGGTTGTAGGTTCGATTCTCCCGATCCCAAAAATTTTGCAAAATTTTTTGTTTTATTTTAAGCTGCCAGAACTGGCTCTGGAATAAAATTTACGCAATTTAAACATGCTTTTCGGGAGTTTCTCGTTATGAATAGGCATTTTCCAGAATAAAAACAGACATTCAATTTTTGAAGAAATTCACAAATATGCTCATCGAAGATTTTTCAAAATTTTTTTTATTCAATTTTCACCAATCCATATTGCTTCGACCGAAAAGTTTATGGAAAGTGCCAATTATCTGGGTGCAAAACATTGTCAATGGTCAAATGCGCGTAGTCCCAAGAACATATGTTTCCAGCAGTTTGTCATCGAATGCCACCGATGTGTTTAGAGTCCTCAACTGTTTTTTCAATTAAAAAAACAAAAAAATTGAAAAGAAATTTTGAAAAATCTTCGATGAACCCATGAGCATATTTGTGAATTTCTTCAAAAATTAAATGTCTGTTTTTATTCTGGAAAATACCTATTCATAACGAGAAACTCCCGAAAAACATGTTTAATTGCGTACATTTTATACTATTCCGTGAAAAAAATTTCACGAGAAATTGCTTAATCATAAGGAAACTTTTCTAGGTCATAACTCAGCTCACGCGAGCATTTTGCTGATTTTTTTAACAGATTTGGAATCCTCATAAGCCATTCTATCTGCTCCCAAAATTTCAAAAAAGTTAAACCTGCGCCGCGGCGACGAGGTAATGACATGGAAAATGAGAGAAAAAAGAGAAAGAGGATGAGAATGGCAAAGCTTACATTAGATTTGAAATGGAATAAGATAAAACGATGTAGTCGTCGGAAAAATAAGGAATCGGGCGATATGTGTGTGTGAGTGTTACTCTTTTCTCGAATCAAAAGCATCGGCATCTCATCAAATGGTTTCTTTTTTATTAGCCTTATTCTTTCCCGACGGAAAATGACATTTGTGGAAACGAAAAG